CCACACGAAACCATTCATGACAAACAATTTGAAGACACACAAAAAAAAAACAAAACATTTTGAGATATACACACAAAAAAAAGGTTCTTCTAATATTAAACGTTCACACAATTGTACGAACCATGCAACCGTCCACACGATGAAAACAACAGAGGAACTCATCGACGACAACCATGCCGCCATTTAATCGACCCAGCAACACCGCGCACAGCAACCATGGACACAGACCACATGACAATTCCACCCAGCTACCGATCGCACCAAAACCCACGTCCTCCCACCTTCCCCGCCCCCCCTTCCCTTCTTCCTCCCATCTGCACGGTCCTACATTAAAGCTAGGCGGTCTCGAAGTGCATCCCACAACAAGTCCCCGTCCATGTTCATGCTTCGTCGCCGCCCGCCCGCGCCGTTCCCCACAGGGCCCAAGTCTAGTATACGCCGAACCCGTCGTTCGCATCCACCTCCCACAAAAGGTTCTCATCGAAATCGATCCCCGCACCAAGGAGGATGTTGTGGAGAGTGCACACGGCCACAAATTGATGTGGCAAGGTCTCCAGGTTCGTCTTGTGGGTGCGCAAGAACAGACGCCACATGCACTTCAGTCGCCCGAATGTCCTCTCCACACACCCCCGCACCACCTTCTTCCACGTGTCGAAGCGCTCCTCGTCAGGACCTTGGTCGATTCCTCTGTACGACTGCACGATCCATGGACAGGCAACTGGATAAGCGTTGTTGCCCAGCAGGTAACCTCGTGTGACGACACCGTACGGGAGATTCTCCGGAGGTGCGTCGAACAGCTCGCCAGTTTCTGCATGCCTCCACAGCTAGGAATTGTGCAGGACACGAACGTCGTGCACACTTCCCGGGTATCCGACGTGGACGTCGAGGATCCCGAGATCCAAATCCACCACCACCTGTGCCTGCACTGAGAACTTCTGTTTGCGGTCGTAGTAGTTGTCCGAAGGTGCGCTGGCGGGCTTGTCAATGTAGATGTGTGTACAGTCAATTGCGCCGAAGCAGCTTGGGAAACCCTTCTCACGGAAAGCGCACAGAATTTGCGCACGTCTATGGCTCACTGGCCATTTTATTGCGTTGGGGTATGCTTGTAGCAGCGCCGAAGTGACGTCGCGGACGACCTGCAGTCCAGTTGCCCTGCCGATGCCGAAGGCTGACGTCCCGCTCTCGTACGTTTCTCCGGACGCCCACCTGTACAACGAGAAAGCGATCACCTGCTCCACTGGCAATGGCATCCTATAGTGCATGACCTTCATCTCCACGTATGTGGCGCACGCGGCTACGATCTGGGTGAACATGGTCATTGACATGCGCAACTTCTGGCGGTAGTACTCGTCCGTCGCGTCATCACACAGGCGGAGGTCCTTCCATGTTCCGCCAGTCCGTCATCTAATCTACCAACGCGGGGTCTGTCGCGGGAAAACGCCAGACGACAGCGCGGCACACAACTGGACGACTGCCTCACACGTGGCCACGCAATCCGGCGCTTCGGCAACGCTCTGCAACAGCGCTCTTCGTTTATGGAGCTGCATCAGCATATCGCGTGCGGACGACGACATGTCGCTCATCGTGTTGACGATGACGGCAGTCACCGCCATCGCCATCGCGTCGATCTCTTCTTCGCGTAGACCGTGCTCGCAGCCACGAACGTCCATCTCTGAGAATCGTTCCGCCTCTACAGCGTAACGCCTGCCACAACCGCCGAAGACACGCCCGCTGCTCAACCCTGCCGCAGGAGACCACGCACGCCGGGGCCAAAGATGCGCCCGCTGCTGTACGCTGCCACAGGAGATGTGGAGCCAAAGACGCGCCCGCTGCTCTACGCTTCCACAGGACAGTACGCACACCGGAGGTGAAGATGCGCCTTGCAGGAAGATGCGCCCTCTGGTCACAACTTGCGTAAACTCGAAAGATGGATACCCATGCCGAATGGTTCGCCAGCGCCGTCTTTTCTACATCATACGCGTCGCCTGGCCGTCCTCCGCCCCGCCACGCTGCGTCCGCGAAAATTCGAACTTGAATTTTCGAAGTTCGGGGTGACCGCGCTTTTCACCGACCCATCCTCACCCGCCCAAGGGCCACCGCAGTGTGTACCACGGACACCAGCCAGGAATGGATGGACATCAGCGACGCGGCTGCGTATACGCATATGAAAACCGGCCGCGGGAGACCTTTTTGGACGAATCCTAAAAGATGATTTTTAGGATTGCGTGTAACAACACCGCACGAAATCCTAAAAACCCTTTAGGACTCGTCCTAAAAATTTTAGGATTCTTTTAGGAGTGTCTAACGAGACCCTTTGTCCATGCTAGTGGGACCAGGCCCCTGGACACTTGACTGTAATCCTTGTAACGAGCTCGAAGGTGGCAGAAAACCAAGGCATTTGTGCACTGGCCGTCAGATTTTCAGATCCTACGGCAGGGAGACCCATGGGCCCATGTACACTCTAAACCCGAACTAAACCCTGAGAAGCGGCCCAAGTGGGACATGGCACCCGTTCTCAGCTCCTCTCTTTTTTCCTTTTTTGCAGATTCCCCCACACCGCCTCAAGCCTTTCGGGGCCTCCAACACGTCGGCGGCGGGGGGAGGGTTGGGGGTTTGCTCTTATACACAT